GTGAGTGCTACAGGCAGAGAGAAGCCGGAAGAGTACGGAAAGTTGTGAGAGTGGAGTCATTGGCTAAGTGGCAACAGGAGTGGAACACGACGGAGAACGGTAGATGGACACATAGACTAATACCGATTCTTTCGACCTGGGTGAACAGAAAACACGGAGAAGTCAATTTCCACCTAACGCAGTTCCTGTCTGGCCACGGCTGCTTCAGGAAATACCTGCATCGGTTCGGACACGCAGCGTCACCCCTCTGTCCGGAGTGTGGCAACGTCGATGAAACGCCGGAGCATGTGGTCTTTGACTGTCCAAGGTTCGAGGCAGTGCGAACGGAGATGCCCGTCCTTAACGTGGAGAATGTCGTCGATGAAATGTGTCGAGAGGAGGACTCTTGGAATGCCGTCAGCAGGGCAGTCACACAGATTATGTCAGAGCTGCAGCGTAAATGGAGAGAAGAGCAGCGATCTAGCAACGCCAGCTAGCGCTGAGAGTACGACAAGTGCATGAGCACAGCCACCCCCCGAAGTAGTCGCTTCACAGTGGTCCCGGGGGGATCCAGGCAGAGGAGAGAGTAAGGAATGGGTTTTAGTGGAGCTGCACTAGGCAACTAGTGGATACCACACCGTGCCACCTTCACTACAGGCCAGGCTTCTTGAAGCTTTCCTAAACCTTACTATAAAAAAAAAAAAAAAAAAAAAAAAAAAAAAAAAAAAAAAAAAAAACACACACACACACAGACACATACACACACACACAGACACACACACACACACACACACACACACACACACACACAAATAAATCTCAATCATTGTAACACAGCACAGCAACTGTTGTGGCAGTCAACAACGGAAACAAAGTGCGACGTTGCAATCATTGCAGAGCCATACCGAGTCCCTCTCGATAATGGTAACTGGGTGGCGGATAGAGCAGGAATGGCGGCCATACAAGTCATGGGCAGGTATCCCATACAACAAGTGGTGGCAAGCTCATATGAAGGTTTCGTGATCGCCAAAATCAATGGAATCTTTGTATGTAGTTGCTACGCACCCCCGAGATGGACAATTGAGCAGTTCCACCAGATGCTAGATGGGCTCACCGAAGAGCTCATTGGACGGAGACCAGTCGTCATCGCAGGAGACTTCAATGCTTGGGCAGTGGATTGGGGGAGCAGATGTACCAACGCAAGAGGGTATAGCCTGCTGGAAGCTCTGGCAAAGTTGAACGTCAGTCTGGCCAACGAAGGAACCATCAGCACCTTCCGCAAAGATGGTAGGGAATCCATTATCGACGTTACTTTCTGCAGTACGTCGCTAATGGCAAATATGAACTGGACGGTGTGCGAGGAGTACACCCATAGTGACCATCAGGCGATCCGGTACAGTATCGGCGAACGAACACCGGTGGAAATGCGGAGGACGAAAGTAAGCGAGCGGAAGTGGAAGACGAAGGCATTCAATAAGGATCTCTTCATCGAAGCTCTAAGGGTAGACAACAGCGTCCCGGGCCTAAGCGCGAATGAGTTGACCGAATTATTAGCAAGGGCATGTGACACAACTATGCCGAGAAAACTGGAGCCAACGAACAGGCGGCGTCCAGCCTACTGGTGGAACGAGGAAATTAGCACCCTCCGTGCTACTTGTCTTCTAGCCAGAAGGCGTGCTCAGAGAGCAAGAACAGAAGCAGACAGAGAGGAGCGCAGGGTGGTGTTCCGAGAGGCCAGGGCTGCACTGAAACGAAAGATAAAGCTGAGCAAGTCAAATAGTTTCAAGGAGTTGTGCCGCGATGCCGATGCCAACCCCTGGGGCAACGCATACCGAGTTGCGATGGCGAAGATCAGAGGCCCAACGATGCCGGTTGAAATGTGTCACAACAAGCTGAAAGTCATCGTGGAGGGACTTTTCCCACAGCATGACCCAACGAACTGGCCACCTACACCATATGGCGAGGTAGATGAAGACAACGTTGAACAAGTCTCCAACGAGGAACTCATAGCAGCAGCGAAAGGGTTGAAAGCGAATAAAGCTCCCGGCCCGGATGGAATTCCCAACGTGGCGTTGAAGGCGGCGATCCAGACGTTCCCGGACATGTTCAGGATGGTGCTGCAGAAATGTCTGGACGATGGTCAGTTCCCTGATAGGTGGAAGGTACAAAAACTTGTGCTGTTGCCGAAGCCCGGAAAACCGCCGGGGGATCCTGCATCGTATAGGCCAATATGCTTGCTGGATACTGTAGGAAAGCTCTTAGAGAGGATCATCCTCAACAGACTGACGAAATGCACGGAGAGTGAACACGGATTGTCGGAGAGACAGTTTGGATTCCGGAAAGGGAGATCGACGGTGGATGCAATTCGGACAGTGATTAACAGAGCCGAGAAAGCTTCCAAACAGAAGCGGAGAGGAAATCGATACTGCGCCGTGATTACGATCGATGTCAAGAATGCATTCAATAGCGCCAGCTGGGAGGCCATCGCCAAGGCGCTCCATAGAATGAGGGTTCCAGGCTACCTCTGCAGGATTCTAAGTAGTTATTTCCAGAACCGGGTCCTTGTCTACGTGACAGACACGGGGCAGAAATCGCTTAGAATCACGGCGGGGGTTCCCCAAGGCTCCATTCTAGGTCCCACGCTGTGGAACGGAATGTACAATGGCGTGCTGACGCTCAAGCTGCCCAAAGGAGTTGAGATCGTTGGCTTTGCGGACGATGTCGTCTTGACGGTAACCGGTGAGACGCTGGAAGAAGTGGAAATGTTGGCGGCTGAGGCGATAGATACGATTGGTAACTGGATGCAAGGAGCGAAGCTGCAGATAGCCCACCACAAAACAGAAGTGATGTTGGTCAGTAACTGCAAAGCAGTGCAGCGGGCAGAAATTACCGTTGGAGAGCACACCATTGCTTCGAAGCGCATGCTTAAGTATCTGGGAGTGATGATCGACGACCGGCTAAACTTTAATAGCCACATCGAATATGCTTGCGAGAAGGCGACGAAGGTCATCAACGCAATAGCCAGAATCATGCCGAACAATTCTGGTCCAAGCAGCAAGAGACGTCTTCTGGCTAGTGTTTCCTCATCAATACTAAGGTACGGAGGTCCAGCCTGGATTGAAGCGCTGAAAACGAAGCAGAACCAAAGGAAATTGAGCAGTACGTTCCGGCTCATGGCCATGCGAGTCGTGAGTGCGTACAGAACCATTTCGATGGAGGCAGTATGCGTTATCGCCGGTATGATCCCAATCGGCATCACCTTGGCGGAGGACTACGAGTGCTATATGACGAGAGAAACCAGAGGAGTACGAAAAATGGTGAGAACGGAGTCGATGGCTAAGTGGCAGCAGGAGTGGGATGCAGCAGAGAACGGTAGATGGACACACAGGCTAATACCGACTCTTTCGACCTGGGTGAACAGGAAGCATGGAGAAGCCAACTTCCACTTGACGCAGTTCCTGTCTGGTCATGGCTGCTTCAGGAAGTACCTGCATCGGTTCGGACACACAACGTCACCCTTCTGTCCGGAGTGTGGGAATGTGGAAGAATCACCAGAGCACGTGGTTTTCGAATGTCCTAGATTTGATGATGTGCGAGAGGATATGCTCGCCCTTAGCACGGAGAATGTCGTCGAAGAAATGTGTCGAGAGGAGGGCACCTTTAACGCCGTCAGCAGAGCAGTAACGCAGATCATGTCAGCGCTGCAGCGAAAATGGCGGGAAGACCAACTAGAAAGTAGTAATGTGCTCACACAAGTGCGAACTGAAAGCCGAAGCCGGGAGAACTCTCCGTCAGAGTAGGCTGTATCCACCACCAGGGATAACCGAGTAGAACGTGACGCTGGGAGATAAATGGCTCACAAATTGGAGAGACGATCAGCGAACTGGAAGCGCCAATTAGCTGAGGTAAAGTGAGGTGCGTAATGCACGGCCCCCTCCGAAGTAATACGACAAGTGGTTCCGGGGGAAAAGGGCAAGGCGTCTAAGGAGGTTTTAGTGCGGTAAGAATCCCACACACCGTGTCACCGCGACTGTGCGCCCAGTCGTCAAGCGGTGGCACGATGGCCTTTTTGAAGGTTTCCTCCTTGCCAAAAAAAAAAAAAAAAAAAAAAAAAAAAAAAAAAAAAAAAAAAAAAAAAAACACACACACACACACATACACACACACACACACATACACACACACACACACACACACGCACACACACACACACACACACACACACACACACACACACACACACACACACACACACACACACGCACACACACACACCTAGCTCAGGTCCTACTTCACACCACCCCGTGGTGTAGCCTGGACAATGTTGTCCTTCCGACAATAGCAAAGTGAGCGGGTGCGACGCGAACTCTGCCGCGGTAACCATAGCACGGCGATAGAGGAAATGCTTCGCCAACCCACAGGAGTGCCAATCCTCGCCAGTAAGATCCTTATTGCGGCATGCTGGACATGGCATGGAACTATGGACACGACACGGCAGTCCCTAATTATGATATCATCGATAAAATATAAAATCGAGTTTTTAAAACCGCGAAAATGTATCGAATGTGAAATGTTATATAAACCGCGACATAGTTTACCGCTAAACGTTATACAATCAGTTTTCTACGCTTTAAGAATTTTGTTGACTTCCAAGTTCTAAGAACTATTGTAAAATCTAATGATTTCATAATTCCAAAAAATATTTTATAATAGTAATTGAGTGGAAGAAACCCTGAATGGTAAACTGTCGCTTTTCGCATTACAGTTCCATGCAACAGTGATAGAAAAGTTCACAAAACTCATATGAATAGCGAAAATTTTCTTAGGGAAACTTCATGAAATATCATTTTTTCCAATGCTCGGTGCACTAAGCCACCGATCCAGTCATAGAACCGCAATTTTGTTGTTGATGCAAAAAAATGAAGCAACTGAGATATGTGATTTAGACGGTAGCTTAATTCAAACAATCAGGCATATAAATAAGTTGTTATAATCATTTTTATACATACATATGTACTTACTTTGCGGTTTGTGTAGGGGTATTAGCAGCAGAACCCTTCTTGCCCTCCATCGTTGCTAAATGTTGCTCAAGTGCTTCTAATAATGAGCTAGGTGCTTTGGTAAGATCTGGTAGATCACCTTTGTCAATACCAACATTCTGAAAATAATCAAAATAAAAAATTAATGAGCTAGCCTTAATCCTGTTTCGGCATCACTTACCTCAGCTACTTTGAGAAACTCTCCGACCCGATCCATACGTGTCAAAAACTTTTTATATAGGTCTAAGGCGTCTCGACATTGTTTTTTATTCATGTCGAAATACTTTTCCAATAAATTTATAATACCATCATTATAACATGCAAATAGTCGTATCAAATCTCTAAAAAGTAGCATGAAACACATATTGATAACACCTGTAATTACAAAAAACACAAAAAATCAATCAGTGACAAATATATACATATGTATCTTAATTGTTCAACTACCGTTTGTTAAGTCATTAGCTGTACAATCAAACTCTAGCAACGAATCCAACTGCGCTTGAAGAACAGGCAATGTTTTCAACAGTTTATCAGCATTCATAACCCGGAGAGAACCCTCTTCCTTTCCTCTTTTCAATTTACAGAAATCGAATGCAACAGTACGATAAGAAAGCGCCTTCTCGTTCAAGTATTTTGCATATCTTCGTATGAAAGGTGACATGTCATACCCTGTAAAAAAATCAAATCAAGTTAATAATCACCTTATACATGCCGTTATGACTGACTCCAAAAACTTTTCTAGTGTGTGCGATTTTTGTTTTACTCAGAAAGACCAACGCGCTTTGCTCAGTGTGAACATATGTTTATTTTACCAAAAAATTATTTGGTAACATTGTTTACAATAGCGAGACATAGACAAGATATTTTGCATTTAAATGTTATTAGTTATTTTTTACGGTTCCAGGGAATTTGACCCAATGCCATTTATCCGAATGGCATTTGATCAAACGCATTTTAATTTGGTAAGAACTTCTCATGAGTATCATAAGAATGACAAATCTGCGATGTGCAATGTGATGTAATGCGATTATAAGAATGGTAAAATATTAAAATTATCCAATTTTCCAGACGGGATCTAAAATTTCCAAATCTCAAGGCAATAGTGGTGACCAAGGAATCAAAAATATCTTAAAAACACAAAAAGACAAGCGATCAAGGAGCCGAATCCTAACTCTATGTCAGCAATGGAAAGCAATAATGAAATAATCTTTTTCCTTAGTTGAAGATGCTAATTTCAGATAACAGACTATACTGGTAATTTTCATACGATAGATGAGGAGGCGAAAGTATAGAATTGATAGTTCCGTTTAGAGTACGGCAGTGTGAAAATTGCATTTACAGAGTAGAAAGCGAGCTAGGACAACTTTAGAAAGGTACAAATCAGTTTTATCACCTCTCTTTACCAAACTCCCCCTATGGAGAGGGATGGTGAGGGGTGCCTTCTACAACTCTGATCAAGATTTGTTACAGAGAGAGAGAGAGTCTATCGGGGTAGTAGTTGCAAGCGATTTGTCTTTATTGTTGGTTTCTTTATGTGTTTGGATTTGCTGGCGATAACACAAAAAAGATAACAGTAAAATTCCAAAGAACTGCTGATGTTTCAAAAAAGGAATAAGGGAATTCGATTTAAATTTCTTACCATACTTTTAAATCTTTATTGTCAAATATGTTTCAACTCCATTTGCAATGCCAAAAATAATGAGAAGAATTAAATTTGAAAGAACTGCTCATGTTGATAGAAGGGAAAATCCCCTAATCACTATGCAACAAGACTTTCTAGGACTGAGCAAATTCAGTTTATTTGACTTTCGTGTTGTCGCTTGAGTAAAAGTCTAGAACATACTTAAACCCTAATACGTCCTAATCTTTTGTTACCGCCCTTTTTATGAATTTTGGTATGTTGTCCCGATGATGGTCGTATGCTGCCTAACTAAAGCATGTTACGATATTGCTGTTGTAGAGTTTTTTTTGTGTAGGAAACAATTAAGGGAACATTTTTTTAGAATATTTGAAAATTATATCTCGCCGTCTTACTCCTCGTTTGGGTGATTTTTGCAAATTGGGCACCCTCCCCTAAAAAATCTAATATATATATAAATTCACAATACAACCATTACACATACTATTATTCCTCATTTTGATGATTATAAACTAATATTGACTTTCTTGTGGACCCTTGACTAAAAGTCCTGAACATACCTATAACCTAACACATCCTAGTTTTTCGGTACCGCCCTCTTTATGAATTTTGGTATGTTGTCCGGATGATGGTCGTATGCTGCCTAACTAAAGTATGTTATGACATTGTCGGCCGAGAGTTTTTTGTAGGAGGTGCCTAAAATAACAATTTCCTAGAACATTTGAAAACGATATCTCGCCACCTTACCCCTGAAGTTCGGGTGATTTTTCAAATTGGATACCCCCGTAAAAATCTAAAATCCATGCAAATTTACAGTAAACAACTTTGAGGTGCGTTGGGATGCTGAGATTATAATTGTGCTGTTGTTGTAAAGCGTATTTTGTAGAAAATTTCTGCGAAAACATTTTTCTCAAACATTTGGAAATGATATCTTAACGTTTTATCTCTCATTTTAATGATTTTCCAAATAAAATATTTCACCTAAGTTCGGGAACTAAAGGAAGGACTCTGTAATGATGAAACTTTATGACCTCACCACCAGGCATGGAATCCCATTTGAAAAATCACCCGAACGAGGGGTAAGATGGCGAGATATCGTTTTCAAATGTTCTAGGAAAGTGTTTCTCTAGTTACTTCCTACAAAACACTTTCAGACGACAATGTCATAACATACTCTAGTTAGGCAGTATACGACCATCATCGGGACAACATACCAACATTCACAAAGAGGGCGGTACCAAAAAATAAGACGTGCAGGATATAAGTATGTTCTAGGATTTTACTCAGGGGGCAACAAGAAAGTCAAATATGGTCAATTTTCTCAGCCTAGAAAGTTGTGTTATTCTTATAATCAGGCAAGACCAATAATATTTTTAAATTGAATAAAATAACAATAAAATATCGGGGCCTCCCTTAGCTCAGTCGGTAAAGGCACAGCTAAAAAGCAAGACCATGCTGGAGGTGGCTGGGTTTCGATGCCCGGTCCGGTCTAGGAATTTTTCGGGTTGGAAAATTTCTCGACTTCTCTGGGCATAGAGTATGATTGGACTTGCCACACAATTATACTAATGCAAAAATGGTACAGGCATCGAAAGCTCTCAATTAATAACTGTGGAAGTGCATCTAGAACACTAAGTTGAGAGCACGCAATAAGCTAATATCTTCTTTTCCTTTATTTAACGTCGGTCTCTGTTCCGCAATCTAGTGCCAATCACCGACGGACATCGTTTGCCATCCATTGACAACAGAATTCCTGCAATTCAGGGAGGCAGCTTCCACACCTGCGTAGGATATCGCATTCACAACACACATGGGCCGGGACCAACGGCTTTACTGCCTCAGAAAAATCCCACCGACCTCGGCTGGGATTGAACTCAGACCCATTGGGGTGAGAAAGCAGTCACGCTTACCACTACACCACCGGCGCCGGCCACAAAGCTAATATGCGATATGCAATAAGCTTGAAAAGCGAAGAAGAAGAAGAACAATAAAATATGATTAAAATAATCGCATTTAGAGTGTTTTCATTCTTTTGGATTTTTAAATAATTACTTTATGAAAATCTCAACATACCAGCGCATATTATGGTTTTTTACAGCGAATCAACATAAATTATAGATTTTTAGGGGGGTACCCAAATTAAATCACCCAAACGAGGGGTAATACAACAAGATATCGTTTTAAAATGTTCTAAAAAAATGTTCCTTTAATCGTTTCCTACAAAAAACTCTTCAACAGCAATATCGTAACATGCTTTAGTCAGGCAGCATACGACCATCATCGGGACAACATACCAAAATTCATAAAGAGGGCGGTACCAAAAAATTGGGACGTGTTAGGATATAAGTATGTTTAAGGATTTTACTCAGGGGACAACAAGAAAGTCAAATATGGTCAATTTTTTCAGTCCTAAAAAGTCTTGTTGCACAGTGCTTGTTCCGGGAACAGTAGGGCTCTCAACCGTTTTAATTAGCATCTCGCAAAATCGATTTTATGGGTGCGAATACAGCTTTAACTGCAATATTTATTAGCTTAGGTTAGCATTTAATTCATTTAGTTATAATACTACTTACAATTATTCGGTTTGAGCGTATGGAATATTAATGCCTAACCGAAATCCTCGTATGTGAAGCAATCTGCGATAAATTTTAGGTTATACATAGTTTCTAATAGTATTTCTTATAAACTTACGGCTGGGATCTTCTAACTGTGATAACTATCTGTTATAGTTTAGGGTAAGATAGTTTAAGTACAACTTTAGCTGTAAGAACTGAAAAACATAGTTTTAGGCCTAATTTAATGATAATTACAATCACTTTACTTTACTTCTAACTTTCTTTTCACCTCTAGGATTTTCTACAGACAACCTTGCAAACAACCTCTCATCGGCCACGTCATTGTCCGTCAACTTTTACGTTTGATGTTTTAAGTCTTGGTAACATCGTTCACCAGTTGAAGTGGTGATGTCGTTCGGTTGCGGTTACACCGCGCGGCAGTGCTGGCAGCAACATCCTTCCCCCCGTAACACTGGCCACCATTTCCAGTTTTACCACCAGACTCAACCTCCAACACGGCCAACTTTGACACCGGTCTACGTAACATCCCTCTCGCAGTCTGAACTATAGCTTGCCGAACTCGTCCATCTTCCGATGCCACGACATCCTTGATCCTTCCTCGAATCCATCCGTTCCTACGGGTGTCGTCCACTACAAGGACTAGATCCCCAACAGCACCAGGCGTTACTTCTCCAAACCACTTCATCCGTTCGGTCAGCATCGGGAGATATTCCCGAATCCAACGCTTCCAGAACACGTCCAGTTGATATTGCATTAGATTCCAGGAAGTCTTAACCGCGGAAGCCGCGTCACTGAACGTTACTGCAGACTGACGAACACCCGTTGAGTTTCCTAGGAGGAAGTGATTTGGCGTCAGAGCTTCCCCTTCGGCAGCGTCTAGGGGCAAGTAGGTAAGCGGACGGCTGTTAACAATGCCCTCGGCTTCGACTACTAGTGTTCCTAGTCCTTCGTCGTCCAGTTTCCGATCGTTGTTGTAAGCTGCCTCCATAGCCGACTTAATCGACCGTATACCATCCTTTCCCACGCTCCGCCCATGTGAGGTGCTCCTGGCGGAATGAAATTCCACTTCGTATCTGTATTAGTGAACGTCGCTGCCAATTCGCTGTGTATACACTCGAGCTCCTCCCGCAGCAGACGTTCGGCACCTTTGAAGTTGGTACCATTATCGGTATAGATTTGATGCACGACGGTGTAGAAAAGCTGTGAGCAACCTCGACATGAACGGCGCGTGTAGTGAGACAAGTGAATAGGCAGATCCAGCGTTTAGCAGCACTCCTCCCTACTTTCACTAATAACGGCCCGAAGAAATCGATGCCGGTGTAGGTGAATGGTCGAGTGAACGACGACAAACGAGCCACCGGCAACGGCGCCATTCGTGGAACCGTAGGATACGTCTTCTTCCTCTTGCACCACTGGCACGTTGCTGAAACTTGCTTCACCACCGTCCTCAATCGGGAAATGTTGTAGTACTGTCGGACTTTGTTCACTACCGTTTCGGAATTTCCGTGGCGAAAGGCTCGATGGAAATCATCTACCACTAGCTTTATCACCGGGTGCTTTCTCGGGAGGATCACCGGGAATCTGGCATCGAACGATGCATGCGGCGCCGCTCCAATTCTTCCTTCGACTCGTAGAACTCCGTTCTCGTCCAGCATCGGCGTTAACTGGTATAAGCTGCTTGTTTTGGGTAGCTCCGTGTGTCCTCTCGAGAACAGGATCATCTCATCGGGATATTCGTTCCATTGCACCATCCGCATTATCGTATCCTTCACTTTTCGTAGTTCATTTTGGCTCAGGTACAGCAATTCCTGCTTCTCTCTTCGTTGTCTACGCTGACAGTTGTCCACGAAACGATGTACGTACGCTACTGCTCCCAGAAGTCGCCGCTACTTTGAGAACCGGGAAAAGTCCACCACAATCTCTGGAATCGTCGTTCCTTTGATTACAAAGCAGGTTCGTAGTTCCTCATCAGGTTGCGCCGAAGTTTTCACCGAAACAGGTGCCAGTTCTCTTCGGGAAACCGTAAAAAATCCGGACCCTTTAACCACTCGTACGTGACTTTCGGGCATTCCTGAACGAACGACATCAAACTGCCAAGGACCGCTGCTTGCAACTCCAAGCGGGGAATCGAGAGTGGCTTCAGCGGTGCGACCTTTGTTTTCGCTGCTAATATCGAGCATTCTGATTCGCCCTTAGCGTTGACCACCCTGAAATACGCCACAGCAGAGAATGCGGATTCGCTTGCATCCACGAAAATGTGTAGCTGAAGCTGTTCATACGTTTTCTTGATTGCGTCCTTGAAATAACATCGTGGGATCCGCAGGTGGCTGATCTTAGGGAAAAGGCTGGTCCACTTGATCCAGCGACGAAATATATCTTTCGTCTCACTGTATTCCAGCTCGCCAAACGTCTTGGAGAAGGATCTTTCCGTGAACTAGAAATACGCTCAGGATTCCCAGAGGATCGAATATCCCCATCAAGCATTTAAGCATCTGCCGTTTGGTTGGCCGCTCACCGCTGTCTATCACCCGCTGAATCTCCTCTTTTAAATCCATCGAGAACCGCAGCTCGTCTTCGGTAGTGTGCCACAACATGCCCATTACTCGATCGCTACTGTCCACGGCGCTCAGGTAAAGACTTTTGATTGCCTTCGGATCCTCCTCTTCCGATTGACGTAGTACTGCGACGCTGTTTGAAAGCCAATTCTTAAGCTGAAATCCTCCTTTCTCGTGAATCGAGTAATCATTCACGTAGTGGTTATTCAGAATTCCCTCCACCGCTCTTGGGAATTGTTCAGCGTATTCTTCGGCATTTCTATTTTTGATATACTGTGCCGAAGCCGGCGAACACGTGGATCCAAATGTTGCCACGTCCATAAGGTATATTTCGAGTGGCTCCAACGGATCGCTCCGGAACACGAAGCGTTGAGAATGCCGGTCCCTCATACGAATCAACATCTGGTGGAACATTTCTTTGATGTCCGCAGAAACTCATACCTTGTACTGCCGAAAGCCTGACAAAACGGCTGGAAGCAATGTAAGCTGGTCTGGACCTTTCAGCAGCATGGAATTCAGGGATATTCCATCCACTGTCGCTGCCGCATCCCAAATAAGCCGAACTTTACCCGGTTTCCGTGGGTTGGTCACTGCGCCTAACGGTAGATACCACACTCGTTTCGGCTCCGCTTGCGCTAATTCGTCTTCCGTCACTCGATGTGCATAGCCTTTTATCTGGTACTCAGCTATCTGCTTCTTAATATTAGCCGCTAGCTCAGGATCCCGATTCATCAAATCGTTTAACCGCCATATTGTAGCTGTCCGGAAACTCGATGTTGTCGTATCTCCACAGCAGACCCGTTTCGAACCGTTCATCTACTCGGATAGTCGTCTCCTCCATGAATCTTCTAGCACGCTTGTCCTCTTCTGATTCCAGCTGTACTGAAGGCGTTACCCCCGCATCTTCTATCAGGAAGTAATCCTTCACTGCGTTATGTAGCTGCGGATCACTGTGACACTCACAGGCGTGGTAATTCAGCGAATGTGCACCTTCATTTCCACTGCCACCGAAGATACACCATCCTAGCCAAGTCTTCACGGCAATAGGTTCACTTCTCTTGCCTTCTTTCACCTGCAGCGGGACTGTAAGGCTCACGTTGTTCACACCTATCAAGAGTCGAGGAACTGCCTTCGCGTAGTTGTCGATAGGTAAACCTTGAAGAAAACGATAGCGTTGTGATAGCTCGTCATAGTTGAGACTCTGTTCCGGCAACGTGAGCTCCTTCACGGTGCGGACATCGTTGAGAGAGAACAGTTTTTGACTATTTGTTCCCTTGATCGTAATTCGAACGTTTTTCAATTCTGGCTCGACTCTGGTGACGTTTCCTGTCCACTTCAGACACAAAGGTTCGGTCCAACCGTTGACTCCAAGTTGCTCCACCAGACCAGGTTTCGATAGTAGCTCGCGGACCGGAGATGATGACAGGAATAATGCGAAACAGAAGAGCCTGCTTGTATTGCCGATGCGTATGGTTCTGCACGGTTGACATACCTTGTGTATGCCGCCCGCTGGCATTGAATCGATTGGAATGCAGCAACGGATGATGGCGATATTGGCATCCCTCGATCACACACCGTGTTGAATTTCTGCAACTTCTTCTTCCGTGTGCGTTAAGACAACTCCGGCAAAGCCCGTTATCTTGCGCGAACTTCCACCGGTTGTCTACGGTATACGCTTTGTACGTGATGACATGACCTTTTACAGCAAGAACATACTCGAACTTTATCCCGAACTTGCTCTCGAACTTGCTCTGCTTCGCTAGTGTGGGCATTCACCGCTCCCTTCTGCTTCGGCTTCTGCTGACCACCACTGTTCCCACCGACGTACATTGTAACTCTGCTGACTGCTGTGATGACTCTGAGCATGAAATCTCCAAACGCCTTTTGGTTGACAACCGGGTGCTGCTGCATATAGTCTGCCCACTGCATTTTAGTGTGCGCAGGAAGTTTCTCCACCAGCTCCATCAGCAACGTTGGGTTGGAAAGTTAGTGCAGTAGAGCACTAATTAACAATTCAGGTCGCCCGTACAGCAAACGAAGGGTATCTATCACTTGAGGCACTGATTCAGGCAGCAGCAACCTGCTCTTGACAGATTCGTACGCGGACCTTCTCAAACAACGCTGCAGACGCGCGAGGTTTTCGGCGCTGTTGTAACCACATGCAAGCGAACTATTCATGAAGCTACTTATAAATATCGGCCAATCAGCTGGGTCACCCGAAAACGTGGGTAGATCGCGGGGCATCACTTGACGCGCGGCTTGCTGCGAGGGGGAGGGGGTAAATTGATCAGTAATGGGCAGACCCAGCGGTGGGGGAACTGCTCCAACTGATAGTACCGGATTTACATGTGACGGAAAGCCAACATTCGACAGTCCCTGTTGCGGGAAAACTGTTCCAGACGCAAGTGGCGAAGAGCCAACAATCGGCAATCCCGCAGTTGGGGGAGCTAATCTGGAAGATTGAATCGGATTTGCCGGTGGCGGAAAGCCAACATTTGTTTCAAACGAAGGGGGAACAGTATTTGTTTCATTGGAGGAAATCGTGGCAAATGGTGCCAACGTTTCAAATTGCTTCATAATTTGTTGGAGGGAGTTTTCAATTTTTGGTGGTAATGGTGGATTTATTATTGGATCACCGAGTGACTAACCTTGATGTGTTATGGGGGGCACTTGGGGTTCGACTTTACCTCTTGGGTTGGTTACCTGTTGCTGCTTCGGACCTATTTTAGGGATCGCGCCGGTATACTGCTGCTGATACCTCTCCTCACGGCACCGTTCAGGAACGCCAAACGGCTTTAACGTTGAATTCAACTGTGGCTGCTTGAAGCTGGATTGCTGACGGTGTTCTGCATGCCTCAGCTCTTGTCGCCTCGTTGCATCCGTTGCCAACTTTTCCCAAATTAGCTTGTTGACCTCATCGGTTGGCTTCCACTACACATCCGGCATCGTTTTCCCCGAGTCAATACGACCCTGGCTGTTCAATGCAGCTGCTGCGGTATCTGCGGATTGGCCTACTAACGGAAGACCATCAGAAACATATGACTGCTCATCGCATTGCTGTTGCCAGTGCTTCACCCTGTCCAGACTCGTCCTTCTACTGACCTTGCTCCTGTTGCTGACCGAATCGTCCGTTTCGTGCAACTCCTCCTCCAACATCTTATATTTTTCCACCAAATGACGTTTTTCCATCGCTTACTGCTCTTCCAACAGCTTCTTTTTTAGCATCAAACGTGCCGCCCTAGCGCTGGACGTTGTTGTTCAGGAACATAGACTCAGCGGAAAACAGTGTCCACAAGTCCACGATCGATCTGCCACCGATGTAGATACTTCCGCGCATTGCATATGCCAGCACCCATTACATTGATCGCATTGCACGCAATCAGTTCAAGCAATCAAGTTAATTATCATACATTAAAATTGAAAATTAATTGAAAGCTTTCTATGCCAACCAATGTATGAATCTGTATTATTACAAGCACAGTAATACTCTATGCCCAGGGAAGTTGAGAAAATTTCCAACTTGGATATGGAACATACTGAGTTCTTAAGGTGATATGGTTCAGCGTTCACAAATCATAGGCATTTTCACTGCCACTTCGAGTTTTCTAGGGAGTTAATCTCGGACACTATTCCGATTTGAGGCACTAAATTGTCATCACAGTTTTGTTATTGTATGTTTTCCGGTGGCAGATAATGGACACCTGGGAAAAGCGAAGTGGAACCAGAGCCCGAGGTTCTGGATCGTATCACCTTAAAACAATTTCTATGTTCTGCCTCCCACTTTTCATTAGTCAGCCAAAAGATCCCTTCAGATCGATCGTGTTTGTCATAGTGGTCTTTAGTTTTTTGTTCATGATTTCGTTAAAATAAATCTGGGACTTTAACAGTTATCTGAAGTCTATGACTTGGAAAATTGGTAACTACACTACACACACAATGCTGATTTCTGTTTGTCAAACTTTGTAAACATATTGAACAAAAATGAATAAATAGTTTATTACTGAATTATAGGTGGGGATGGGTGGCATTCACTAGCCCGAGAATACCCTCCAGATGCTAGCCTCTTCACCAACCATACATCAGTACACACTTATCGAGTCAGCAATTTTTACCGAGTTTTTGAATTACGGAACTCTTCGGTAAAATTTAAAAAATCTGTGAAAAATTCAAAGTTGAGAATATGTGCTACGAAAATTTACAGA